TGCAACTTATCTAACAGATGGGACATGCTTCATTCTCTAGAGAAGATATAATTATTTTCTTATTTCTAGTCAGTTAAAAATTTGCTTTCATGTGACCGGACAGCAAAAGAACCTTTAAATCAGGTATGTGTAATTAAACACACACTTAAATGCATCCATTTCAACCTGTAGTTAGTACAGGCCCCCTCTCTAACCCTTGTGGCCTTTCAAGAGGGACAGAGCAGCAAATGAGAAATTGACAAGATGTCAGGCAGAAGGAAGAAATATAGTTTCCCAAAGTCAGAGCTCATTTTCCAGCAACGAAACAAGAGACAGAGCTGAAAGGAAATGCCAGGAGCACAGGCAGCAGCATCTCAATAGGCAGACACAGCTGGCACAGACACCCATTTAACCATGTGTCCTGGCTGGGCTTCTCTTAGACAGGGACTATTATTAACGGATATAGAGGCAGCACCCTGGAATAATAAAAGCCATTTGCAAATGCAAGAATACAACAGCTAAAAAGCAGGTTAGTATTAAACTACCTTCTAACTGAAGAAAAGATGTCAGATAAAGATGAGCATGTTACATTGCATCACAAAGTTCTTTTAAGGGCACCACTTTCTGCCATTCCACATGTACTTGGCTAGCAACAAATTATGCACATTCACACATTGTTTGGCTGACATAAGATAATTATTTCAATATTTGAAAATAGAGGTAGTCAATATATATATGTGGCAATTACTGTCAATTAGCATTGGCTGGGTGGATGACATAAGTGGCTGCAACCCCTGAAGAATCTGCTCTGCTGTTATTGGAAGATGCCCAGTTTCCATCTGCAGGTTGTTTTTGCTGAATTGGAGGCCAGATTGTGAAATGGCCTAATTCTCAGCTAGAACAACAACAGATTAAAAGGGAAACTACAGTGTCCTCCCAGGTACCAAAAGGGAAGATCCCAGATGTCCATCCTTTTTACATTCTCCCATTGTTCTCTTTCTTTTTCCACTCTTAATCCTACTTACTTCATGTCCTCTTGGACCCAACTGCTTTTGTGGCAAGTCTGAAGGACAGTGCAGAATAGGTATGTTCATCTCATACACACTGCCACTCAATGTGGGGATTCAAAGACATTCTTTAGATTTTTCTGAGTTTGATGGTGAATATCATCCTAGTGCAAAAGAGCCCACAAAAGGCTCTTAAGGACTTGGGTCCAGATCCTCAAAGGCATTTAGGTACCTAACTCCCATTGACTTCAGTGATTTCAATGGGAGTTTGGCACTGAAACACCTTCGAGGATTTGGGCCTTATGCCCTGTTCTAACACCCCTAGGAGTCAATGGGAATCTTTGGCTCAGGTCCTTAATACAGAGTTTTTACAGGGCACTGGTGTGAATTTCACAGTAGGCTTACTACATTTCTTTGTTTTGTATACGCAAAGAAGAGGATAACCTGCACTAAAAAAGAATATTATAAAGACAAAAAAATGGCCCCATAGCCCATTCTGTAGAGGTTATGGTTATCGACATTCTCTGATCGCCATTGAACAGAGGAGAAGAATTTTCCTCCCTGGGAAAGGATTTTCTTTCTACACATCACCTGAAGTTTGCGAGATCCAGAACATAAAGCCAGGAGGATTGGCTTAAGTGAAGTTTCTAATACACACACATGCCAGGTTCTGGCAACTCAGCATTGCCTAATCTTTCAATGGCGAAGGCTCAAATCTGAGATTTTGGTCCTTTGCCTCAGCATTGCAGAATTGTGCATAACATTAAATTGCAGGGGCAAAAACGCTGGCACTGTGAAGAAGCTGCATTAGGCTTAAACACTCATCTGAGCTAAACTACTGCAGGAAAATAGACGTAACACTGCTTAAGACAGGTTTCAGAGTAACAGCCGTGTTAGTCTGTATTCGCAAAAAGAAAAGGAGTACTTGTAGCACCTTAGAGACTAACCAATCTCTAACCACCTTAGAGACTAACCAAGCTCATGCTCAAATAAATTGGTTAGTCTCTAAGGTGCTACAAGTACTCCTTTTCTTACTGCTTAAGACCAATTTTACTATGTAACATTTTGGAGGCTGGAAGATTGAAATTGCTATCCGAGAATGGACTAATGATCCATCTATTCTGGTATCCTCTGACTGACAGTAGACCATACCAGACATTTCAGTAGAGACGTAAGACTCCCCATAAACAGAGTAATTTGCAATAACCCAATCATGGGGAAAAATATTTCCTAAACCCAAGCACTTAGTGGTTAGTTTATTTCCTGAAGCATTAGGATTTGGTATCCCATGTAAACCTGTAGCCACCCTAATATTGAGAATACTATTATTATTCATATGAATGTCTAATCCTTTTTTAAACCCTACTAGGCTCCTTGCCTCCATGGCATCTTGAAGGAGTGAGTGTCACTGCTTAATTAGGCATGATGTAAAAAGAGCTTTACATTTATAACCCCTCAGGGCTCCAACACAAAAATAAAGAGAATCCAAAAATATCCTGCCTTTCAAAAAAAAAATCTTTTGATATTTTAAGCCACGATAATGCACCCCGCCCCCTCAAGTGATGATTTTTGGGGATAGCAGTACGGATTATTACAAATAATCTCAAAAAATCATCTTCGCCAAAAAGAAAACGCACATTTGTCAGGAAAGAAAAAACAAATAAATTTCAGCATGAGACACCGTGGCCTTTGTGAGGATTTGACTCTGCTTCTTCAAAGTTATTCTCTTTAAAAAAAATTAATTGCTTCAGTTCTTGGTCTTTATTGAAAATCCAGTGCACAAAAGCAAATAGCCAATTTTCTGCAGTTTTCAGAGTGAGAAAAAGTTTTCCTGATATGCTGAGAAAAGGGGAATGGGGTGGAATACCATATCATGGAAGGCAGAAACAACTAAGCTCTTTCCACATACTGAAAGGATAGAAAATGACTGGGAATTGCTCTGTATTCAAGGAAAGTGTATATTAAAAATGAATGCAGTTTCCCTACCAAGTTTATTGCAGCTGTAAAAAAGGTCTCTCCTAGTCTGACTATATTTTCTGATGTCCAAATTGAAACCCATTAGACTTTAATAGTAACAAGTAACAGGGGAAACAAATGAAATCATAGAATATTTAGTAATAAACTACTCTGCTTTCCGCGAGAAGACAGCTGTGGCTCCCAAGGCCTGCAATCCCTCTAAGATCCCTTATCGAAAGGAGAGTGCTCCTCATTATGTGTCACATGGCTGCTGATAAATATAAATACAAGAGGAACCCTATGCCATGTGGGAGGCAGGAACTCTGCCTTCCCAAGACCCTCCATGTTTGCAAGAATGGCAGGTGACTAAGCCATGTGCAAATGAGAGGAGACTTAAAAGGAAAGGAATGGCACCAGCTGTCTCCAAAGGAACATTAATTAAAGGGGCAGAACTCCCAGTCATTTGCCTTGGAGTTCAAATAAATATACTATGGGGAGCACGAAAGTTACAGAGTAGCTTTTTCTTCCCAGAGTCTGACTCCACAAACCTCCACAGCAGGGAATGCCACAGTAATTACTCGCTGGAAGCAGGGTTTTCTTTTTGTTCCCAAACTACCACCCTTCAGTTTCATCTTCTCTTATACCCTACCCGCATCATCTCCTCCACCCCACCCCACCCCAAAGAATCTCTAAAGCTATGTCTACAATGGCAACTGAATGACAAAACTTTTGTCTTTCAGAAATGTTAAAAAAACCACACACAACCCAAAGACAAAATTTTACAAGCACCAGTGTGAACAACGCTTTGTCAACAAAGCTAACACCACTCATTGGCGGTGGAAGCTTTTTGTCATCAGGAGAGCTGACAAACAGCGGCTACACGGCGTGTCTTTTAGCTGCATGGCTGTAGCAACACAGCCGTGTTGCTAAAAGCTGCGTAGCGTAGACATAGCCTAATATTCTATCACAAAAGAAACAAAGCACAACAATTAGTCCTTCACTCTTCACCATACCAGCTCCCACATCCAGCCTTCATCTGAAGCCTGGGGGATTGTATTAGCAAATGTAAACACACACAGTCAACGCTAGAGATTTGCATCCAGGGCCCCTGATGCAATGCAGGAGACACTAGCCTGATCAGCAAACCATCCACATGTATCAGAGTAACAGCCGTGTTAGTCTGTATTCGCAAAAAGAAAAGGAGTACTTGTGGCACCTTAGAGACTAACCAATTTATTTGAGCATAAGCTTTCGTGCTCACGAAAGCTTATGCTCAAATAAATTGGTTAGTCTCTAAGGTGCCACAAGTCCTCCTTTTCCATCCACATGTAGAATACCTGATGATTACAATGGGAGTCGCATGCCCAGGGGACCTGTCTAGCGTTGAGGTTTACATTGAAGGAGCAAGCAGTGAATCTCCACCATCTTTCATCAACAGTTTTCTATTCCTACTATAGTTGTTCATGAAAATACTGGATACACACCCAGATTTTTCCCATAAGCAGCACAGCTTCGGATAACACAGTCAAGCTCTGTAGATTCTCCCCCGCGCTCCCCAGAGAGGACACAGCATTGGTTTCGGAAGGCACACGTGAGCAAACCTGATTTCAGGTGCAAGTGCCAGTTGTGCTCTGTTGCTAGAGGCAGCGCTTGGGGGGAACCGAGTATTGTGAACTCTTCAGGTCAGGGACACCATTACCGAGGGTGCCCAGATGTCCCGATTTTATAGGGACAGTCCTGATATTTGGGACTTTTTCCTATATAGGCATCTATTACGCCTCACCCCCTGTCCTGATTTTTCACATTTGCTATCTGGTCACCCTACCATTACCCTCTGTGTTGTCAAGGAGTACTGGTGGCACCTTAGAGACTATGCTCAAATAAATTGGTTAGTCTCTAAGGTGCCACAAGTCCTCCTGTTCTTTTTGCGGATACAGACTAACACGGCTGCTACTCTGAAACCTCTGTGTTGTGTGTAAGCTGGGGCCAAAAGAGCTAATGCAATCCTTGGATGTGTCAAGTAGTGAATCTCAAGTAGGAGTGGAGAGCTTATTTTACCTCTGTATTCAGTGCGACCACCACTGGAATACGGTGTCCAATTCTTGCACCCACTATTCAAGATGTTGATAAACTGGAGAGAGTTCAGAGAAGAATGATTAAAGGCTTAGACAACATGCCTTAGAGTCAAAGAGCACAACTATTTGGCTTAACAAAGAGAAGATTATGGGGTGACTTGATTACAGTCTATAAGTATCTACACGGGGAACAAATATTTAATAATGGGCTCTTCAATCTAGCAGACAAAGGTATAACATGATTGAGTGGCTGGAAGTTGAAGCTAGACAAACTCAGAGTGGAAGTAAGGCATACATTTTTAACGGTGAGTAATTAACCATTGGAACAATTTCCAAAGGGTTGTGGTGGCTTCTCCATCACTGACAATTTTTAAAGGAAGGTTGGATGTTTTTCTAACAGATCTGCTCTAGGAATTATTCGGGGGAAGTTCTGTGGCCTGCGTTAAACAGGAGGACAGAATAATAGTGGTCCCTTCTGGCTTTGAAATCTACGAATCTCCATGTGGTGGAAGGATGGTCCAGTGTTTATGGCACTAACCTAGGACTTTGAGAAGCTGGATTCTGGTCTACTTTGACACACCTTTCCTGGGTAACCCTGCATGAGTCATGGGGGGGGCTGATCTTCACTGCAGAGTTAACTGGGGCTCACCCAGTGTTACCCCTAACCTGGCTCGCACACACACACAAACTCTCTCACTCAAACGTGGTGGTGCTTGAAACCCAACACCCATCCTGGGCTATAGGCTAAAGCCTGAGCACTGCTTACATTTGAGCTGGTACCCAGTGCCAATCACCTGAAGTAACTGCGGTGAGAACATACCCTGGGTCTTGCTGTGCCTCAGTTCCCCATCTGTAAAATGGAAATAACAGCACTGCCCTACCTCACAGGGTGTTGTCCGAATAAATACATTAAAGACTGTGAGATGCTCAAATGTACAGTGATGGGGCCACAGGAGTGCCCCGGACAGACTGACAGTATGTAGATGGGGTAAGCAACTCCTTGCAAAGTGCTGCATTAGGTAATTCCCAGACACAAAAGAGTTCAAGTTCAGCAAGGGAAATAAGACTGTTCATCCATCTCCCCTGTTTTTGGCAAGCAGGCACTCCCTTTATAGACATACAATATGAAGAACTAAATACAATATGCTGTTCAGAGATACTATCCAGCTGTATTGGTTTACAAGGCCGGCAGTCGATTGCTTAGGACTGGCCACGGCACTGGTGCTTTACTAATCAAGAATGAGAAACTCCCACTGCTACAGCCCAGCTGCCTTGCCCCTTAGCTAGGGTAGGCAAGTTCATCTCTAAAGGGTTTGTGGTTAAGGTATAACAATTCGGCATGTATCTTGCCCTTCCTCGCTGCAAACCAAAACCCCATCAAGTAGTTTTGTTTGTCACACAACAGAACATCCCAGTTGGAAAAAGCTCTGGTACCAATAAGCTGTTTTATAGCCTTGCTCAGGAAATGCTGTCATTCTGTACTTGGTTGCTTGCTTCCACAGACCACACAGCTGTACTTCGTATAAATCCCCTTAAGCGCAGAGCTCTGCATCACTTTTTCTCCATGCAGTAACCCCATAAGCAGGTCACATACTGCATCAAGACCTGGATCACTACTGACTTTTCCCCAGGAGTAGAGCATGCTTCCTCAAGGGGGAACAGGAGTGGGATTCAAACCTGCATCTCCTGGCCACAGGGCAGTAAAGAACAGCTCTACAGCTTTACCCCAAAGCCTTTGCACACAAAGCATACATGAACCAGAAGGCCAAATTCTCTGCTAGTACAAATTGGCACAACTCCATTAACTAACTTCAATGGAGATGAACCAATTTACAGTCTGAGAATTTCAGATTGGAGTGGGGGATCACTGTGAACTGATGTACTAAAAATATGAATACTTTGCATCTGTATAGTCCCTGTAATCCAAAGATCTCAAAGCACCTAAACCTCACAATAGTTTCACAAATGGAGACTCTTAGGTACAGAATATTTTCGCTAGGCTTGCACAGAGAATTGGCCAAGCCAATAACTGTTATTAGCATGTAATTATTTATATTGCTGTAGGCCCTCAGGGACCAGGGTCCCATTGTCCTAGGTGCTGTACAAATGCATTAACAAAAAGACAGTCCTTGACTGACAGGGGGGAGGGACAGTTCACTGGTTTGAGCACTGGCCTGCTAAACCTAGGGTTGGGAGTTCAATCCTTGAGGGGGCCATTTAGGGATCTGGGGCAAAAATTGGGGATTGGTCCTGCTTTGAGCAGGGAGTTGGACTAGATGACCTCCTGAGGTCTCTTCCAACCCTGATATTCTATGACCCAAAAAGCTCATAATCAAAGGAGGAACAGGAAATGGGGGTGGGAAGGGGGAGGACGATTCCCAATGCCCTGCTCTTAACTGCTAAACCTGGCTGTCTCGCACACATCTGAGCAAAATTTAAACGCATACTCCCTGCAAGGAGCCTTTTATCTCAGTAATATTTCCTTGTCGGAATTATTCTACAGAACAGAAATATCCATACATGCCATGCACTATTTAAAAACAAGCAAGAACCAAAGAGATTAAGAGTGCAGTGACCTTTATGAATTAACCAGCTAACACAAACTACATTTAAGTCAGCGCAAAGAAGTTATTGCACGTGGGTGGCTCAGAGTCTCCAGCATACAGAGACTGCTCTAGGCACGGCAAAGAGAACAGCACTGGGATGCAGTTTCAGATAACTGCTGAGTTGATTATATCTGTGAATTGGGCTCTCTTAAGGCAAAGAGCAGCATAGCAAGTACCAAGAAAACAACGATCTGGTAGGCAAGCAGCGTGCTGGTGAAGAGACATGGTCATGCAGCTGCTGTCTCTGCAAGTTCATCAGGCAACAAGGTTCGAAGCCAAGTGGAATGCTCCTGCATTTTGCTGTCCGCCCTTGGAATTTAAAATGCTGGCCACCTACATGAATTACCTACCCAGGCTGGTCCCCAAATAAATAACATTAATTCCATAATGACTGGGCTAGTACAAGATGCAAAGACAGTCTGGGGGAAGATATGTGAGCTGAATTCATACATGACAAACTGCATCAAAGACAATAAATTTATGTTTGTCCAGCACCTTTAATCCAGAAGGATCCCAAGCAATTTATAGACTGTATGCGCTATACAGAGTTCACTCACTTACCATGAAGTTCAGCCACTTCGGGGATGGAAAATGGCAGCTGTTTAACTATTTTAAGCAAGCAAAATGCCATTGCCCACATTGAACTGTAGCATGGACTTTGGTGTGGACACCCCTTCCCCATAACAATGTAAGGACACTGCCTTCTCTACAGCTAGGTATAGCCAAGATTAGTTTGCAGCAAAGCCTTCATCTTGAACATACAGTCCCAGCATACAGATAGCATGTGCACCAAGTGGAAATCTCACATCTAAATAGGAATCCTAGTTCAAGCCAATGTGTTTCCCAAAAACTTACAAGAGTGGTCTTGTATTTGCCCAACTGAGAAGCCTGACTCACTCTGGGTCCAATCCTGCAGCGGCTTCACGCATGGGACTCCCACTGAAATTAATAGAATAGGGACTCGTAACAGGGCCTTGGAGCATGTGTGCATCTCAGTACATCTTTTGTAGCCCTTTGAAACTGGAGCTGTAGTTGCAACTCCCACGCCTGCTCCCAGTCATGTGCCCTAGAGAGGGAACCACATATAAGGCTTCCCGCCTCCTGGGCACAGCAGCAGACGGGGGGACCCAGAGTCAGGGAAAGCGCTCTCAACACCTGTCAGAGCAGGAAGCAGGAGCTGGCTGGAATGAAAATTCAGCAAGGAAGCCCTGGAAGAAGGGTTATAAGGACTGTGAAGAAGTCTGAGGGCTCTAAAGGGCTGGAAACAAGGGCCAGACAAGGCCCTGAAGGGCCACAACGCCAGGTGGGACACTTTGTTCTGAATCTTGGTTTCTAAGGTCAAGAAAAATTCTGAGCAAAGTGAATGAAGTGGTGCCATTGCTTGGAGCACAATTTCTCCTTCCCCAGCTGGTGGTTCAGCGCACCAGCTCACACAGCTACTCACACCCAGCCTCTGCACATTACATTTGTCTCAGGAAGAGAAGGTTGTTTCTCTCATCATTCACGCCACCCAAAACTGGTGCCACGCTAGGTGAGTCAGAGGCTCAGCTCTTGTCTCGCCAACTTCTGCCCCACAGCATGAAAAAGCAGCTGAGCTGCTGCAGCTCTTCTCTGCCACGTGCTCTTCCTGTTGTGGCTAAGCGACAGTGCATCTGCGTCAAATCGCCGCAACAGGTAGACCACTAACAGAAGGGGAAAACCCACATGAGGAAAGAGTCCCTGACACAAGCAAAATGACACACAGACAAACACAAGGTGTTCAGTGCTGCGACTGTAAGATTCTAATCCAACTTTTATTAAAGCATCAGAAATTCTAGGGGCAACACCAGAGCAATTGATGCTCACACACGCATAGCCCTTAACTCATCACGTTCGTCCTTCCCCTGCTCCCATTTGCCTGAGCACCTGCTGTTTCTTTGAACAAATGAACTAGGTGGGGTTAAGGCAGGGTGACTGAAATATTGCTGAACAGCTGGAGGCAGGAGAGCGAGGTGATCTGCACTCCTAGCTCCAAACGGCGTAGGCGGCGGTAGCCCAGAGTGGCTAGGAGAGTACATTTCAAATCCAGCACACAGCTCAGCACCGCTGGCAGTGTCTGCTCAGCACTGGCAGCGCAGGAGGTAGCTTAGCAAAGCATTGCATTGCTAGAGAGGGATGGGGAAGCTAACTTCACCGGCCTGCCTCACAGCTAGCTCTAGCAGTTGTGGTCAGGCCTACAAAATGATTTCCCACCCATCTCCGCCAGACAACAGCCAGTTCTTGTCCACTAGAGGTTGGACTTTCAAAAACACTAAGCACTGGTCTAACTCTGCTCTGACTGACTTCTATAGAACTGCAGTTTGGCCAACACTGAGTGCTTCTGAAAATCCCACCCTACGATTGCATGGCATGACGGCTTTAGGATTTGATGGCTCTTAGCGGTAGTCCTATGCTTACCTAGTTCAAGCTAT